TTTGATCTAGAATTTCAGCCACTGTTATTATTCCTTTCTCTACTTTAATACTGAATATTTGTGGGGAAAGCGCAATTGGATAAAGTCACACTATGAAAGTAACTAAGCCCTACACTGAAGATAAAGCAGTTTATTGATCTCTTATGGTAGGTAAAAAACACAGGTGACCTTTTGAAAAATGTAATCTGTAGATCTGCTGTATTTTATAAATATTGCAACCCATTGCTTTCATTAAAAAATGACATAGTATATGTTTACTAGCTAATAATTACACCATTCTCTGATTTCTATAAGGTTATGTATCTGCAACAAAACCTTGTGGATTTTCTGGTTTTTATTTTAACACTAATAAATTTGCTTGATGTAGCAATCAAAACATAGCTGTATTTCCTTTTTCAGTTGGTTGCTGTGGTGTTTAAATTGATTAAAGGATGTTTTCAAGCAGTTTGACATATCAGAATTGGAAATGATGGTTGGAAACAATGGGTTTGTACTAATTATAATATGAAAAAGTGATGTCTCCACTCCCAAAGGGCAAGTAAAACTGGATTGGGATCACAACTTGAAAATTTTACTTTTTATACTAATTAATTCTTCTATAGGTTGCTGCTACACTGCAGAATTAATGCAGTTTGACACCACTTTAATTGTTATGGTGCCATCCTATGAAATCCTGGGATTTGTATTTTATTGTGACACCAAAAATCTCTGGCAAAGAACTCTAAATATCTCACAAAACTACAAATCCCCGAATTCCATAGCATCAAGCCATGGCAGTTAAAGTGGTGTCAACTTGCATTAACTCTGCAGGGTAAATGCATCCATTGGTCTAATCCCAAATCCCAAGCAGTTAGTTATATTTATGGTTACAGTTCTTTAAAAGTTATTTTACTTTCATATTCTTCAAAAGTAAACAACAATAATTCATTTCATTTTATTTATTTATTTATTTATTTTTTTGAAATCCAAATTGTTTTTGTAATATTTTCTGGGCATTTTTTGTGCAGAAAAATCCATTTCTCATGCAGAAAATGCTGTATTTGGTGCAAAAAAAATAAAGTAGTCTTTTTTTGTTTTATTTTTTTTCAAATCCAAATTATTGTTGTAATATTTTCTGTGCAGAAACAGCTATTTTCCATGGAGAAAATGCTGTTTTCAGCACAAAACAATCACAGATGAATTTTGCACAGAATAAATTCCCAAGCTATAAAGTCTCATCAGTCCAGGATTCATCTCATTGAGGTTTCTCAGCAGTTGAAATACATGTTTTTAAACCATTTCCCAAATATTTTCCCATATTCTTTCCATCCCTCATCCATAGGGTAACTTTAGAGATGTTTAACCCACTGACAAGATCCCAGCTATTATCTGTTTTGACACTTTTTACAATGATCCATCCCAAATTCTCCCCATCTCAAATATTAAGAAATCCATCCATTCAGGTGAATGAACAATGTAGTGAAACAAAACTCCACCCTACCGTTGGTTAAAAACACAGTTGTTGTGATATGATCCAATTTGGAAAGACTTTTTATTTTTTTTTAAAAAGCCAAATAGCAAATAGGAATAAAAACAAAACAAAAATACAGCCTCCACTTGTATACAGATTCTGGATAGATAATAGCCTTCTCTGAGATTTCTAATTTATCATTTTGTTCTGCCACAGTGCTCTCCAACTGTAATAGGCAGCAATTCACCTATTCTTTTCTTCTTTCCTTTCGTGCTTCCATTTCTCATTTACTACATAAGCGTTACTTGACAAAATGATGCAGGATATTTGGGATGACATTTTGAGGAGGAACATGTGCAAAAGAGAAAGAGAGAGAGAGAGGGAGCAAAGAAGAAAAGGTTGAGCATGCTATGAAAAAGAGTTGAGCGCGACAAAGCCACCTGACCTTTCCTTTCAGTCCCAAGATGCTGCCAATGCAATTTGAAGCCATCTCGAGAGAGCAAGTCCTTGTAAAATACAGAGAATGAGCAGGAGAATAAAGACAGACCAGGCATTTCAGAAAATGCTATTGATCAGCCAAAGCGACTTGTCATGATGACTTGTCCATGGAAATGGCATTCCAAGAGATAAGTAGCAGAGGCTGTGTAAGGCTGCCTATTCATTCCCCCCCGCCCAAGTGTACTCCTCCAAGAAGTTGATTTAATATGAATTTTTCTATGATGACTCCTTTCCCTTCAGAAAAGCTCTAGTATTTATCTTTTTCTACTTGAGACTTGCCTTAACATTCACTCATACTCCTCCAACGCTTTCTTTTTCTGAAATGTAGGCCAGGTGACAAAGACCTCCCCCCTCCAAAAAACCCCTAAAACAAAACCCTGAATAAACAAGACCATATATTGCTAAGCAGGGCTCCTTTGAATCTCAAGAATCAAACAGCAACAATATACAAATTCCAGTCATCAGTCCTTACCATTGAAAAGAAGGCTGTATTTTAGTGGTATTACTGCAAGTACCTGATTTTGGATAGTTTGTTTGAAGTACTGACTGAAACCTGGAGCAAATGGACCATTCAATGGACAAGTGGCAGTGTTTGCAAGAGTTTGGGTTCCCAAAATCATGTGTGACTGCTACTGCTGGAGGATGGGACTGTTTGTTGGCCTCCATGATGGAAACCAGAATACTCTGCACTTGATGTGAAGTGCCAAGCTGCATCACATGCAGAGGGCAAGGGAGGAGACTATTTAATAGTCTGTAACATACTGTAGCTCTTGGGCCTTGGACAATTGGTAATGGATGGTATCAATAAATAGACTCCCATGTGGCAGGGAGAGAGGGAGAAGATAAAGAGATTGGTGTATACCAGGGGTAGGCAACCTTTCCCCTTTAAGGGCCGAGGGACTTCAGCTCCCAGAAGCCTCAGCCATGTTGGCCAATAGTCCCATGTTGGCCAATAGCTCCTGGGATTCTGGGAGCTGAAGTCCCTCGGCCCTTAAAGGGGAAAGGTTGCCTACCCCTGGTGTATACCTTGGCACCCCATTGTGGTGGACGATTGAGCTCTAGAACTCCCTCCATGAGGCATCGGACTGGGGGGGGGTTGTGAAAGAGTCTGCTCTCTTATAAAGTTATGGACTTGAGAGGGGCCCTCCATGTTTTGTCTCCCAAAGATGACCATCCAGGATAGTAACCAATTTCTTTGGATAGCCCTTGGGGTCTAGTTTTCACTCAAGGGAAGCCTGGGGAGGAGTCATAGGTTGACATCTGGGCATCTGTTGGGCCTACATCAGCTTGTTTGCCAAGGCTTAAACATTTAAATAGGTTTTAGGACCTCAGTCAATTAGCAAAGAGTGGTGTCGACAAACAGGCTCTCCTGTGGCAGGTAGTGGGAGGAGAAAGTAAGAGATCAGTGTGCACCTTGGCACTCCATTGTGATCGAGGGTTGGGCTCTGCAATTTCCTCAATAAAGTGTCTCTTGTTTTTACCCAACTGCATGTGTCTGGTCACTTTATTCCATCGTTGGTCAACGGATTTGTCACCATTATCATAGTGTCAGAATTCATAGCAACTCTCCCATAAAGCACTAAAAGCTGTTTCTCAATGAAGCTTAACATGCACCTCACACAGTCATTGTCTCACACACTGGCATACTATTACTCATGATATATGGAATCAAATTCTCTCTTATATGGGTATTTGCATTTGATGTGAATAAAAGAATGTTTGTTTTATAACCATAGTTAGCTTCTCTTGGGAGAGAAGGCTACAAAGGCAGGCTTGTGGTTGTCATTGTTTTCTAACATGCTTTGATGATCAAAATGTAGGTGTTCTCAAAAACAGATTTCCATATGTTATTTATTAAATCAGGGAAAATGTATCAAGATGCAACATCTGGTTTTTTTAGTTTGGGTATAGCATTCAATATGATACCAGTCCATCTCCTGTCCCCCAAGGCTTCTGAGCTTTCATGGTTGTGTGGAATAATGAAACCAGATTGAAGTTTATACAGTCATGGCAATAATTTGCTAGGTAGTAACCTTCCCCAACATTATTCATAGTCAGCCAGTAAAAAATCTACCTGACATAGTGATACGATACAATTGTTGCACAAAAAGGGTATGCCCCATTAAAAGGAATGCCTTTCCCACTGTAACCAGAATCTCATTTTTCAGCTAATGAAGATGTTAACCATAAAACACATTTCACCCTTCAGACACTCTTATTGCCGGGCAGACAAACAAAAATTGGGGTTTTATTACGAAAGAGGCCTTTCAAATTAAAAGTTCTATTACAAAACCAAAGAGGGAGAGCCAGAAACCAAACTATAATGGGCAATTTTCAACATAAAATTTAACAAGATGTGTTTCATAAATCAGAGGTTTATTGGTAGAAGATTCCTCTTTCAGTTTCTGTGTTAATTGGGCCATTTTATAAGAAGAGGGTGTCATTTTATTTATTCATTTAGTCATTTATTTTTTTTGTATTTATGCCTTATTCAAGTGAAATATTGAACCAGTGTGGTATAGTGGTTTGTGTGTTGGACTACAGCTCGGAGTCCAGGGTTCGAATCCTTGCTCAGCCATGAAAACTTCCTGAGTGGCCTTGGGCAAGTAATATTCTTTCAGGCTCAGAGGAATGTAATGGCAAACTCACTCTGAACAAACCTTTCCATGATAAGTTCTCCTTAAGGTCACCATAAGTCAGAAAGGACTTGAAAGCATATGTCAACAAGAACATGAGCTGATTTTTTAATAACTTTCTCTGTTCAGGAGATAAACCTCTCTTGGCATGACATCTTGTTCGGGTTTGACCCATAACAAAAAACACTTACCTAGATATTTCTTCCCTTGCCCACAGTATGGCTGGAATTCTAGCAGCATCCGCACTGCAGAAATAATGCAGTTTGATGCCACTTTAACTGCCATGGTTTGGTGCTATGGAGTTCTAGGATTTGTACCATAGTTTTATAAGATTTTTTTGCTTTCTCTGTCAAAGAGCTCAGGTGCCACAACAAAATACAAACCTGAGGATTCCATTAGATGGAACCACAGTAGTCAAAATATTGTAATGTTGTACGCCGCCCCGATTGCCTGACAGAGGGGTGGGATATAAATAAAAATTATTATTATTATTATTATTATTATTATTATTATTATTATTATTATTATTGTCAAACTGCATTAATTCTACGGTGCAGATGCAGCCTCTGTTAGGGGAGTACATGTGCGTAAGCATCCCTTACACATGTGGATGATCTTTTTTGGGTACTGCAAGGGTTGTTATTCCCTGCCTACTTCTGCAGTGCCCAAAGCCTCTCTTTACATGCTATGAAGCTACCCTACATGGCCATTCCATACTTCATGACAAACACACAACATCAGAGAAGCATCTGGCTACCTTCTCATAGCCAAATGCACAATAATGACATCAGCACTGTTATCCGTTAATTTTCCAGAAGTCTTGGTGCTTCTGTAGTCATTGTACCTGTGACTATGGGGCACTAGCCAGATGCTTCTCCAATCCTGCCTGCTTGCTGTGAAGCACTGGTGGCTTGAGGGACTCTTTAGTAAGTCTAGAGGAGGATACATGCCTCAGTGCAGTGCAGGTGTGCACTGAGATATTTATGCTACAATAGCTCCCTCATCATAAAGTTACACATCACAGCCCATGATCTCAGATCTCTGCTAAAAATAGTAACTGTCTGATGAACAGGGCAGCTTGCAACTTGAACATCAGGTTTATGTGAAATTCCAAGCTTCATGGAGCCTTCACATTAGTCTGTATAAATTAATTCTGTATGTTTGTGGAGTCAAGAGAATGTGCAGCTATCATCTGAACCAATAGAAGAAGTTACGAAAAAGAACAAAAACACAGGCCTCCTCTTCTTTCTTTGCAGTTTCCCTTTATGTTGCAGTTCACACCTAGATTTCTACTTGCAGGTTCCCTTTCTGTGTTGCTCTTTCTTCAGTGAGTTTGTTCCTATTTCCACCTCCATTTAGCCATCAGAACAAATTCTGTGTAACTACAACTATGGACTGATTCCTGTTGGTTAGTCCTAACTGAAGAAGATGAATTCAATGAATTCTTGAATAGCAAAACAATATATACGGTAAGTAGATCCCACTGATTCAATGGGTCTACACTAGTCAGGAATAACAAGATGCAGGCTTGCATTTCTTTTGCAGAGCCCTTGGTTATACAAAATGCACATATAATATGGACATGTAAGAAATGCACTCCCTCAAAAGATTTTGGGTTTAGGTTTTACACAATACAAATTTCCTGAACCAAACATGGACACTATTTTCAGGGGGAAAAACTGGTACATCTTCAGGCTTCTGACCTAGTAAAATATCTTCAACAACATTCAGGAATTTGAAAAAATGCACAGGACCACACATGGCTGTGCTCCTTTCTAAAATATGCACAAATGCACTTTTGCCAACTGCAGCATATATGCATTAATGGATTCATTTGAACACCATGCACAAAAATATGCACATTTTTCATTATTTAAAAATTCAGAGGAAATTGGCACAGAAGAGATTGGAGGTGGGTAAGGGAGAAAGCTAAAGAATGGAGTATGACATATGTCTCCACCCCTAGCCTTCACATACAATTTCGGTTCTCTTCATACCTTCAGATCAACACATGGAGATCAGGAATAATCCCAATCTCCTTTTCCATGATTGACTTCAAGCTATCAACATGCAAAAGCTCATCACAGTAGGTACCCTAGTTAATTTTTCAGAAGTGCAAAACTGACAGTTTAATGAGTGAAGCTTTTCCTGGATCACAATCCCCTTCTCCTCATTAAGGGATACATTACAGAAGCACTAAACCTTGCTTGGATTTTCCTTACAAGACATATTGATTTGACACAACTTAAATCATTCCTTATTCCTTCCTTTTGGGACAGGTTTATATGACACCAATACTTAGGTATCTTATGTGTGTTCCATATGTAATGTTCACACACTCTCAGCCTCAGAGGATGGCAATGGCAAACTCCCGCTGAAGAAACCTGTAAGAAAACCCTGGGATAGGTTTGCCTTAGGTTCATCGTAAGTTTGAAATGACTTGAAGGCACACAACAACAACAAGAACAAGCAGATTAATTGCTTCCATACATCAGCACTAACTGACCATTGTGAAGATCTGAAAGACCTGTATCACTTTACCCAGCCCTTTGAAAATTTAGGACAAGGGACATGATTTGTATCTTTTCTAGATGTTATAGCATTCTATGCCACTCCAACTGTATAAATATGCTTTATCCCTGAAGCTTTACTATCCCTTTCTACTGCATCTGAAGAAATTGACTTATATCCACAAAAGTTTGTGCTAAAATAAAATAGTCCAATAGTCTTAAAGGTGCCGTGACCTTTTTTCTCCACCTCCCTTCCTCCTTCGACATCGCTCAAGCAGGTCTAATGATCTTTTCTCCAAATATTGTTTGCCTCTGAAAATGTGGAGCCCTTTCCTCCTTTATTTATTTATTCATTTCTTATCCTTCATTCATGGTTTGATTTACATAATAATCCTTTAGTTTATGGGCTGTGAATACGACCACATTAGCATAATTACATAACTTATTGTTTTGTCAGGGATAGTAGACAAGTAATGATAGCCTTAGCTTATTATCACCATTCTTTTGCTTTGCTTTTTCTTTTTTCATTCCACACTTTGTGACCATGAGAGATGGAGATTTAACAGGATTCTTCACATGAATGGTTATTCAAAGGAGAAAGAGAAGAAACCAAACAAGTTGCCTTTAACCACAAACACAGGGTTTGCACTGCATGATTTCTTCTCAGTACTGTTCATTAGAATTTCCCTGAAATATTGACTCCAGAAAGGTTTCCATGTTAGGCTTTTCAGCCAAAGGAAGAGAGAACTGTGGCACTTTTATTAAGATATTTAGGACTGATGGAGTGATTTTTTATTTACTTAGATGGAGTGATGTCTTGGTTGCATTACACAGTACCTATATGTGGGTTATGTGGGTTGCTGCTAAATAGTCATGGCTAAGAGCCAGTTGCACAACTGTTATGTTCAATGAGATGCACATTGATACATGTTTCACATTGGGCCTCTGAGTGCGCTGCAGAGGATCTTCTGGCCCCATTTGGGAATGAACAGAAAACTGTTGAAGATTGTACAATACACATCAACACATGTTCTGTGTGCAGACCTCTGTTTCCATCCACATCAGCTAAATATGGCCATTGTACAATGTTCAACAAAAACACTACACATGTGCAACACAACTCATGCCTGCATATGTCACAAATAGGATGCTGACCAAAACAAGGTGCATGTATCACATTGGATCTATGTGGCTTTTCTGTAAGTCATCAGGTTTTGAATGTCTGAATTACATACAGTGGGCCCTTGGTATACACTGGGGTTTGGTTCCAGGACCCCTCATGGATACTAAAATCTGTGGATGCTCAACTCCCATTATATACAGTGACATAGTAAAATGGTGTCCCTTATATAAAATGGCAAAATCATGGTTTGCTATTCAGAATTTGTACTTTTTAAAAATATTTTCACACTGTGGATGTTTGAGTACATGAATAAGGAATCTGTGGATACAAAGGGACAACTGTATATACCTGTATATATACATATATGAATATGCCTCTATAGTAATGTATATATAAAGTAGAAATATGTGTACACATCTTTGGGGATAACAGCTGATCATCCAAGTAAGCTTTTTTCCTAGATGCCACAGCTTTCCTTGTTGTTTCTGAAATATTGAAATGCTCTTGGCATACAACTGGAATGTGATAATACTGCTCAGCCTCTGCATTCTTATTAAGGCTTGAGCACCATGGAGTGAGTTAAGTACCACACTAATCCCTCCATTTTCAAGAGTTCTCATCTAATCAGACTTTTAAAGGGTTTTACCACCTGCAGTGAGCTTCAGCAGCTGGTATAAGTTAACCACACTAGAGAGCAAGGAGAAGATTTGTCATCCTTCTTCGTAAGAAGTAGTTAACATAAGCACATAAGAAGGGCCCAGGATCTGGATAAGACCAAAGGCCTATCTGGCCTAACATCCTGTTGTCCACAATGGCCCACCATAACCTTCTTGGGAAGATAGGAAGCACATGGCAAAAGCTCTCCCGCATACACATCTTTGGATTGTGTATTTCTAACAATAGGATTCAGGCTTTGATTGATTATCCTCTGAGTGAATTGTTGTAATTAAATAATCAAGGTTGCAACTGTGCTGCAGAAATAATGCCACTTGATACCACTTTAACTGTCATGGCTGAATGCTATGGAATCATGAGATTAATACTAAAAGCCATATAATCCATTTATGGATTCATGTCTAGAGACACCATGGGGTTCAAGAAAAAAAAAATAAAGAATCAATACATTGGGCCCTTAGTATCTGCTGGTGTTTTGTTCCAGGACCCCCCCCCCCATGGATAACAAAAGTCATGGATACTCAAGTCTCATTAAATACAGTGGTGTAATAAAATGGTATCCCTTTTATATAAAATAGCAAAATCAAAGTTTTCTTTTTTGGAATTTATGTCTCTTTTCGAGTATTTTTAAGCC